AGAAAATAACCAAATTCCTCTAGCACTTGTGTTAGATCTTCTAAAGCTCCTTCTGAAGCACTACATGGAAATTACTGTGGTAGTAAGTGCTGCTCTCCCTGCACCACAATTCAAGACATTCTGAAGTTAGCTGCACTCAGACTTTCAACACATCAGCAATTCAAAGTGCAATACTTCAAGGTGTGCATTCTCCTCATCTTTAGTGCTTGAAGTACTTAGTGCAGATAAGGCACTACACATTTCCAGCGTACTGTAAAGGGCCTAAAAAAATCATATTCACAACACTCCAATGAGTCAGGCAGATACTGGATACTTAACTGTGCTTCCGATGAGAAGTCTTTCCGCATGCAGCCTGGCCAGAAATGCACTGCATTTAACCATTTGAAACATACAAGGAAAGAAATGGGATTGAAAAAGGAGATACGAGAATTTAAACACATGAAAGGGTGACTATATTTACAGGAAAGACCAGACAGTATTTGGTGATTTTTCATTTATCATTAGCTCCTCCTTATCTTTTAAGTTATGGCACACTATCTCTTCTTTTTCCATGCAAGACGCTTTCTTCATCTTCCATACTTAGTGTTGCTCAACAGTTACTAGTAATTCTTCCTATGTTTGACTCATGCAAGATCATCCTCTCAACCTCTCTTCCACCTCCTACACTGTGCAGAGAAACCTGCAACTACCCTTGCCACTTTGCAAGGGGATCTCTGACAGCTAGCACACAGCGAGTTCAATGCTTAAAGCACAGTGCGGGCATAGAAGACACTAATCAATTGAGCCACATGTGTGAGGAGGGCTCTGCCTCCCTGCATATCACGTAGATTCTTCTGCATACACACCCATGCTACAGCCAAGTCTTCTTTCTTTCCCAGGTAAACAGCACTCCTTATTGCTAAAAGAGGGAAGGAGAGGAAGAACAGGCTTACAGAATCTCTTGTTGAGGCATGTAAAAGAAACTGACTTCAATATGACAAGTATGGTTTATTCTGCCTCCAGTACAGTCTTGAAAGAAGGGCTTCAGATTTACTTTAGAGTGCGTACAGCTCTAATGGGTGTATTCTGAAGAAAGGGGAAACAGCATCTTTACAATTAGCTGCTTTTTGACCCAACTACAGCATCAGATGAAAAATCTTTACAACATGGTATTACTCTCAAAGCTTTCTTTACCCCTTCATCTTTGTCTGTGTACATGTGTGTTAGTGTGTGAAAGTCACAAAACAGTAATTCCAGACAAAAAGTCCTTGTCATTACTATTACAAAATCAAACCCACGAAGTACATTAAGATCATAACACAACCAGAAAAATGTACTGCTTCTAATAAGATAGTCTACAAATACATGGTGAGAAACATGAGGTTCATTTCTATGAAGTTAGCAAAAAAAAAAAAAGATTCATTTTACTTAAGCACATGACTGTACATTGCCTCCGTTACCACTAATGCAAAAGGGAGGGCTGACAACTAATGGAATTTATAAATGGGAGTAAAGAAATGCAAAAATACTAGAAAGGTTTTATTTCCTGAATATTATTCACTACACAGCAAAAGAATTAAAAAGATATTTTTGTAAGCAATACACTGGCATATACATGTCATGACCGTGACAATACTGTTAAGAATCTGGCCACAGCTTTCCTTGTAAGCACCATGCGTTCATGCAAGACCAATGCATACACAAACACACAGTGCAATTAAGACAATTGTCTACGCGCAAGCTTATCACATGCACATGTGTCTGAGCAGCTATATATACACATAACTTGTTCATTAGGTTTGCAGATCTATTTTCCTCTTCTATTTTTCCTGAAGGGAGCAAGACTGGAAAACAGCTCACCATCAGAAAAAACACTTAAAATTTCCCTGCACAAGCTGATTCTTTAGTTCTGTGCCAATCTACATTATCACATCTCTTTAAAGCTAGAGTTTCCTCTGAACTACAGTTTCCAGACATGAAATTTTAAAGTATTTTCACAAGCCACACAAAACATTCTTTTGAAGGATTTGAGTCAGCAAAATTACAATTTTTTTGTCAAAACAGACCAATTACCAATCAGTACTTGATATTCTTCACCTACCTTCTACTCTGTCCTTCAAAATCATAGATACTCAGAAATATGACAAGCAAAAACACTACAATAATGAAAGACTATATAATACAGAACAAGTACAGCTGCACCTAAACACAGTACATGATATGAGTCAAATGAGACACAAATTTAACTCCACTATTTGCATGCTCACCACTTTCCTATCCTGCTAACTCTTCTGAAAGATCGACATACCAAGTCCTGAATGTATATGCAAGTACAAAAAGCATCCATTTTCAGGTTCCCTCCTGTGTTTTCACAGTATTAATGTTTGTGCAGTTTTTGTTACACATGTAAGCCCTGCTGAAGTAACAACTGCACCCAGCTGCAATGTGCTTCCCCCTGCACCACCACTGCAATGCAAAGACATGCACCTATTTGCCAATATAAGTTTATTTTTATAACGGACTACCATCCTAGGATTTCTAGCTTGGATCCTGAATATTTTTCATTTGGAAATTACAGTCTTCACTGGCCTGCTGCCAATGCTCCTGATACCTTCTCTCAAGTATTCTTAGACAGAAATGAAAAAAGTCACTATCCTCCTATTAAAAACTAGGTGCTGTGGAGACAAACAGTACATTTAAATTAGATACAAACCCAGAATAATAAGCCTTGCACATAGACTGTTCTTTAACTCTTCCTAATATACCAGAAGAGAGACAAAAGTCTTCAATCCACACAGGTATATTCTATGCCAAACAACACAGAAAGTTAAAAAGAAAACCTTCACTATCAAACAATTCAGATATACTCTTCTTAAACACTACCTTTCAAGTATTTTATTTTACAACGTCTATTAACAAGTTACATATTATCCCACATAACTGCAATAAACCTACCACTTCTGTCTACCTAACATGTTTGCTGTTTTTTTAAAAATTCTCATTCTTGACTGAATTTTCATCTAGTCAGCTGAATTTAACCTAAGACATGCTTTACCATCCTTATTTTTTGACAAGTAATTTAACTTCCAACATCTCAGTATGTTTATTTAGAAAACTGAATAAATTATTATAGGGTTTTAAACTTCCAAGTTACAAGCAAGGAACAACTAGATGCAGTACAGTACCAGCCGCAGATGACAAATCAAGCAGAACACAAAATGGTATACACTTCAATATACACATTTAAACAGAAGATTAAAAGTTGCTTCGATTTAATATTTCAATGAGAAAATGCACCAGAATGTCTACCAAGGGTACATATTGAACATTATGTTGCTGTAATTTATCTATTATCTTTATGATAAGAAAACGTCATTTAATTGTTAATACCCAAATAAAATTGTAAGCAAAAAAAAATTCCTCATCCAAACCAGTATGATGACATGAGATTTATCCATAATCCCTTTTTTAATTTCCCTAGGAGTAAAAGCATAAAGAATTATGTGATTTACTAATGACTGATCTAAAGAAAGTGTATCAATTTTACTTTTTTTCTATATAACAACTTCTATTGGATACACAAAGACATAAGTGTTACCTTGGAAGAAATAGCTTTCTAAACAGCACAAAATATTAACTTAATGCATCAGAGAAATCACACACATGAAAGTCAGTAACTACTCAGTTTTTAAAATATCTCTGAGCAGCAGCAGAACGCCATTTCTTGCAATTAGACAGAAAATATTCCATGGAGAATCAGCTTATAGTGTTCACTTGCCTACTTTGGAAAAGTTAACCTTTTGAACCATTGTTAGGGTATGCTGACCCCTAAAGGTCTAAAAATACTAAATCTGATTAAGCCATTACACATTTAAAGCATAAATTGTCAGAATATAATTCTCCACCAAGTTACTCTACCGTGACTATTTTTGTTTTCAGAGTATACGATTCAAAAACATTAACTTCACTCAGTAATAGCGCAAAATTCCATGAATTAAAAGGAATCTACAAGTAGTTATTGTACACAATAATATAGATAGAAATTCCTTTACATATGTAAGAAACGCATCATCTCCAAGACAGATTATTTCTTCTTTCTTCTAAACAACACATTCTTCATAAGAAACTCGACATTTATTAGCCTTTGAGAAAAAATACATAGTATAAAATTCAAAAAAGGAAATACACAAGATGCTACCAGGCTCCTATATAGGAAGCATCTTTAATGTTGACATATCTATTTATTTTTTAACCTACACATAGACCCTTACTAGAAAAAATCCATCCTTTTATGATGTACTGAAGGTCTCCTTCCTGTGCCTTTCCCTTTCTTCAATCTACACACTATTATCTAGTCACAAGCCACCTTCTGACAATTCTCTTCTGTAAGACAGTCACATAATGTGCTCTCAAACTCAGTGCCCCCACTCTCTTTTTTTTTTTAAAGTTTCTGCCATGAAACAGAAGAATGTATCCAAGGGCAAAATTTTGGTCATCCAAATACAAAAAGATCCCTCCATCCTGATGGAGATGAAAACTCCTTGAACCATGGAAGTTACAAGTCAACCAAGGCCCCCTTTACCTCCAAACTCACCTTACTGCCTATATTCAGTTGAGGTAATAATAAGAAACTCATTATTAGTAGTAGATGGCTCTAGCCAGGCATGAATAGCCAATAAAGGTACTTTAAGACAGACTTCAGATTTGCTGTTAACCCATTAAGAAAAAAAGACTGGAAAGGAAAGTGCAATGCACAGACTAAGAATTTAAATTAGACTACTCAAAGTTATACAAAAACATTTTCAAAAACTCAGAAAATAAAAATGAAGCTGGTGATTTACATTCCTTTAGCAGCTCTTCTGTTACCCCAAATACTTTCAAGAGGCAGTGTGTGGTTGTGGGTTTTTTTTTTCTATGCTGCCAAAGTCAGTGATATATCGGCAAGAACAAATACATTCCAGTCACTGCCTAGCACTGGTACACCACCTGAGGTTCCTTAATAATATCTTAAAAGTCCTTACCTTTTGACCAGTTCTTCATTTGTTCTTCTGAACTTGTTTGATCTGGCACCGAGTTCAATTTTTGCTTGAAGATTTCAGAGCTGAAATAAAGCAAACTAGATAAATAAACTTGAAACAATATAACACACCTATGCCTTGCCTTCATTTGACAAAACAAAATTTACAAGACAAATGATTTAAAAATATTTCTAAGAGGACAATAAAATCCATGTACTTTAACAGTCAGTGCTAAATTATATTTCTCAGTAAAATATTTTTTTTCCACACATCTAATTTTTGTAATGGTTTGGTTCAGCTTTCTGTTCCATCTAATGCCTTTGTTGAAAAATTTACTAGTCTTCTTGTTCTAGGGTCTGGTCTTGGAAGTACACACTACTGAGCACAGCCCAGATCACACTGAGTGGTCCCACTGGAGGCAATGAGACTGCTCACTTTGGTATTTATTACAGATGGTGGTATGCGCTTCACTTTACAACATTCTTTCTCCTGCTTTAATTTCCTGGAGAAAATACAGGTAAAGTGTCCCATGACCATTCCAACTCTGAATTTGCAGGTTTTCCTAAACAACTAAACAATCAATCCTAGTATTTGCATACATATTGCTTCAGACTATAGTTAATTACACAGTTGCAGTATGTTTTCCCTGATATATTTTTTTCTACATTTATTAAAAAGATACAACATATGCCTTGAAGAGGCAGTGGCTGGATCATGAAAATATCCAGAGAGTTGTCATTGTGCTGATAAATGTAAGAGTTAAAAAAAATAATTAAGTACGTATTTTAAAATTCAAGCATATTATACCGACACATATTCTAATAAAGCATAAGTTCTTTTCCTATACAACACCAAAAAAGCAGATGTTTTCATTTTTATCTTTGAGATTATAAAGTAGTACAGTATTTGTGCAAACATTTAAGATTCAACACTAACATTTACATGAAGCATTCAAGAAATACTTATTTAGCTCATATTTGTTGCTAACTATAAATGTGCATGATCAAAAAAAATGTGTATGATTTGACATGCTTAGGTCTTAACAAAAAATAACAACTTCACCTCATATCGCAGTTCCTTACAAGAATCCCTCAAATGAAGCTGTATGCTTCTTTTTCAATTCTGTGTAACTGTGTTGGTTTGGAGTTGGCAATCTTTTCCTAAGTTCCTCATTTACTTTTGGATTAGCTGAAAATATAGAAGGTTATTAATATCAAGAAATAGGTTTCTGTCAATGAAGCCATTTCCCTAC